CTGGTGCACTGTATCTGGAATCAGCCTCCTGGCAATGTGCTCCAAGTACAAAAGGTTTGGAACCAGCTTTTTTCTCACAGACCACCAAGTGTGGCCCCACATGCTATAACAGGCTGAGAATCACTCGTGCTTGGTGGACTGGGTTACAGACCTAGAGCATTTCATGGTGCTGCATTGACAGTGACAATGATGTTAGTGTGGAGATGTGTATTATGATCATAAAGAAGTAAAACTTAAATTACCTCTCTTACCTTGGTTGCTGCCAGACAGACAAAAGGAGGGAGAGCAGGTTATTGTGGTATCACAGATATGGTATTATAGATAGGTTGTTGCCATCTGCTGGCTAATGATAAATAAAAGGTTGTGTCTCATTTTGATGCAAAATGTTGCAAAAACATTTAAATGTCCAAAAGTAAAATAAAAAAGAAGATATTTAGTAAGACAGCAGTTATAAATTCACAAATATGGAGTGTCTGCCACAGGTGATAAGGGAGATCTAAGCCATGCAGTATACAGTATAGATGTATACAGAGAGAGAGAGACTGAAATGTGTTGAAATGTGCATGTGAAGAGAGAGCATATTTTCTTTTGTATTGCAGCTCTTTGACCTTATTCACTTTGTATTGTGAGCTTTTATTCCACTGTCTGTCATCAGACAAAACAGATGAGTCTAGAGCTTCTTCATCGTTGCCAGTTCTGAATGAGAACTGATTTGAAGTTGTATGCGTGGTAATGCATCACATTTACTGTGTTGGAGATTGACATTTATTTAGCAGGCATGCTGTGGGATGTCATGTAGCTTCCTTTGATTGATCTCTTCACTTCCTGGTACAAAGATGGAGGCCGCCTCCTGTAACCACACAACCCCTTTCAAGCTCGTGGTGTAGGAGGCACCCTTCGGCAAGGTTCCAGGATCAGTCCTCCCCACTACCTAACTGTAACCATCAGAGGAGTAAACACAAGACCGACCTCAGATCAGTGTCTAGAGGCAAATCCATTTTAAAACCGGTTTTAGAAAGCCCATATGTGATCCATATGGAGCTCCTTCCTGTATCCTCTGTGGAAATGTGGTAGTCCACAAAGTGCAAGGTACACATGCTGGACTTCCTGTTTGTTCACAGAATAACAGTTAAATAAAAAGGAATAATAGGAAAAGGAAAATTAATTATCCTATCGATAGTCTACCCAAATGCCTTCAATTTATTTATTTTAGTCAAAAAAGAGAGAGAGCACAGTACCACATATTGTGTCACAAGAATGTGTGAGTTAGTTTAAGTCTTTGGATGAGACATTTATCCATTGATAAAAAGTGTCTGGTTTAAGTTTTCAATCCTCTAAAGTTTCATTGCCTTGTTCTCTGGAGTATTATAATGGCAGACGGCCTTTTAACTCTGTAATATAGCTTAACTGTGAGTATAAGGCTATAAAATGTTCTTTTCTATTGAGTCCCAGCCAGAGGTAATGATTTCAGAATGTCACTCTAGGCCTACACCGCTGTGACTGTAAGAATGATTAGCTCTTACAGTACTGGTAGTAGCAAAACATATTGCTGTCATTTCCTAAATGCAGTCTGTAATATGAATGTACCATCATTTGAGAAGTCAAGACTGGTGCACATGCTCGTAGATATTCATATCTGCAGACAAACACGTGGAGGAATCAAAGGCTGAGTCTGTATATATGTAAAAGTACTATCATCCGTGCAGTCATTCTGGAAAAGTAATTTTCATATTTGCTCTCCTCTTGAATCTGGAGACGCCCGTCTGTTTGATGTGTTCGGAGCTGCAGTACAGATGCCACAGTCTTAGCTACGGTGAACGTCATCTCACTGGCTGTTCTCGGAATACAGAAAAAAAACATCTTGTGCACCACCTCTAAAATTAGTGTGTGCAGCACATGGAGTAAAAAATATCCTACGTTAGAAAAGTCTGTAAAGGGACCGCTGTCTCTCTTCACTACTCTACATTTTTGTGTCCCACCTTGGAACAGAGCCAGTTGAGATCTCCCATAGCAACTGAGCCATCTGTTTCGTGAAAAATACACGGCATGCCACATATTTTCCAGTTGTGGGCCAGCCAGAAATCTGGAAATCTGATTTTATAACCCATATGACTTGGGTTGTTTGGAGTTGCAGAAAGTTTTGGTGTGGTCTCTTGTATACTAAACAAAAAGAATAAGCCCTGCTGTGCTAGTAGGTCCCAGCTTCCAGTGTAATGCTCATCAGTTGTGTGGCTGGTCTGTTGTACGATGTACAAAGACAGTAAAGGACATCTTTAATCTATTTACCAGATGTTCATGGAGAAGGAAGAAGAAAATCTGTTTTCTGAGAGTCACTCTGCTGAAGTCTGTGTAGCAGGTGAAGAGAATTTTGCCAAGAGCACATATCATACAGTTGGTCTTTTATAACTACATCACGCAGTACACAGTTAGACACAGACTAAAATTCTGGCTCCTTATCAATTATTTTATGGAATCAAATACATTTTTGCATGTTTCATGTTGTGTACAAGTAGGATAAAAGATTGAATTCTGAAATGCAACCACATTGTCAGAGCCAGCCAGTGGCTGACCACACTTGAATCCGCTAGTTTGTGATGATGTGATGAGCCTGGAAGTCAGTCAGTAATGGTGGAGATAATAGGTCTTTATTACTTTGACCCCTGACCCCTGTTCTTAGTGAGAAGTTTAGGAGTGGTCCCTGAGGAGCTGTCTGATATTAACATGCTTCTAAAATAAGAAGCCCCTGAAGTCGGATGGATATTGGCCAACTCGCAGCGCAACTGGAGCCTGGTTCAGCTGGGAAGGGGGGAAGGGGTGCAGAGGGGGAGTTTCAGGAGTGCTACCCATGTGTCACCCACCCTGGGAGCAGTATTTCCACCCAACCCAGTGAAAGGTTTATAGACTTCAACTGTAAAGGAAAACCACTAAATCTCTCACTTTTGTAACACAAAAATCCCCACATCCCTCTCCTGACATTAGTCCTGAAACTCTTAGCAGAAATTTGTGGAGTTAAGGTTTTTTTTATTGTTGCTTTTTATCAAATGTTCATCAAATGCACCCATGAATGAACTTCCTCCTGAAGTCCATTGAAATGGTGCTGCTGCTGGCAGAGGTATGTGCAGCCCATGTGTGGGGTTGTGGTATGGTGGGGTCCACAGAGGAGAAATGGACACCAGATGGGACCAAGGGGTGGGGGGGGTGGGGGGTGGAGATGCAAGGTAGAATAAAATAACACATGCAGGAGATTGAAACTGAATTGTGGTAGAAGGGGGAGGTGCGCATGTGGATGTGTATGTTTGTGTGTATTAGTAGGGTGTAAAATAAATGGATAGCTGCATCATCTAGCGTAGGACCCTTGTAGGATAAGAACGGGTAAACAGACATGATCTGAGGTCTGTGGAAAAAAAGGTGACAGAGTTTTTACTTGTGAATACTCTCACAGCTCCTTCTAAATGTTTTGATTTACATTTTCTAAGTAACAGCAGTATCTTTGTTCAATGCACATTTGTTTTTTGAGAAGAAGCCCACCAGGAAACCCTTGAATAGATGATTGAAAAACCAACCACGTTGGTTTTCCATGCAAGCATATGCATGTGTCTGAGATTGAAAACCAACATTCCATGGTCCCAATGTGCACTCACATAAAAAAAACATTCTATTTAGAGCATTTTGAGCTGCCTTGTGATCCCTCCAAACCCTTTCTAATGCAAACACAGCAGAAAATGCAGTCAGTCAAAGTCAAACTGCCCAAAACTCTCCCTCGCTGTTTCTCTTCTCCCTTTCATTATCTCATCTGCAATTGTAGCTCCACTATAAATTTTCAGCTCTGTCTTTCTGGAGCAATTTTAGTTCAGTTTGGTCTACATATTACATTGTTTCCACTGAAAACATTGGAGAATGACCATATTGACTCAGGTGTTCATGTTTCAAACCATGTTACTGCCACATATGATCTGTTTTGTTTTCACAAGATAGCTTACCCCAGCTGTCTTAGTAAATAAAAGGTGACTCGTAAGCTGTTTTTGATGTCATTGTATGGAGTTGTTTCTGTTGCAAGTCACTATCTATTGCTGCTAAGTCATTTTGTGAAGCATTCCTGGATTGTTTTCCCTTTAGTGCTGAAATACATTAGAGCCTTATGACTCAGACATGATAAAGGAAGGCAACCGAAATCTGAAGTGGGACAGAATCTGTCTGAGCATGTGCAGTATGTGGACAGGTGCAGGTGTGTGTTTGTCTTAATTAAAGTGCCAGTCGGCTCTGTTCTTGCTGAGGGCCTGTTGTCTGTCTGCCATAGTTTAAATCATTAAGTTTCAAATCTCATGATAAACAAACCTTCATCAGAAGCGCTGCTGATTTTTTTCATCTGTATTAGTGGTTAGGAACAAAAACAGAAAACCCTTCCTGGGGTTCTTTTCAGTGACATGTAATGCATGAAAACATGCTCTGCTGTTTTTCTAATCCTCCCATGGGAGTCTATCACATTTGTCGACTTGTTAGTTGTCACTCCTGTAGTGTGACCCTGCACCCTACTACAGTTCATTACACTAGTGGCACCATGACCCAGCCCTGTCACTTTCCTCTCTGCACTTCTATTGTTGTTGGTTTCCAATTACATTTACCAAAAGAGTTAAGTGCTCGGATCGTAATTAGTGTAGTGTGAGCTTCGTGTCGTGTTGTTTTTGCAGCTAATTCCTGTCAGAATTTGAAATGCTGTAATTCACGTCAGCCATAGATGTTGGCCCCTGACAGATACATCAACACTGGCTTGTTCACTGTGGCTTATTCTGCAAAATTGGAGTGACCAAGGTTTTTTTCACGATAAATACACAATATTTATTTACAAATAAAGTGGTTATAATAGAAATAAATACAAAATAAAAATCTGACCATTATACTTCATGTGGTATTGCACCCATTTCAAAATGTACATCAGAAATACATTTTCAAAACCAGTAAAGGAATATTCCTCTGATTAAAATATTTATTTTTCCCAACTTTATGTAGACATAAATATATTCATATATAGTTTTTTCTTCTTCCACAATAGCTCTGTTTGTCTTTCTTTCATATAAATAAACGTCTTCATTGGGAAACCGGGTGTCCATAATAACCTTTGATGTCTTTCAGTCTTTCTTTCTGTCCACTGTCAATTTCTCATCGGCAGCCACATCCCTCCACCACCATGTCCTGGTAGTTTTTCAAGATGACCTTCTCATATTCATCCAGGTAGAGCAGGGAGATAGGGCTGAGTTCAGTGGGTACACAACAGGCTCTAGGGATGTTTGAGTTGACTGAGTTGACCAGCGTCTGCACAATAGCATGATTGGTAGAATTGAGGTGGTCTGCTAGGGGGAACGGACATTCCCCGTGGCAGTAATAGGCGTGGTAGCCTGGGGGCGCCACTATCCACTCATTCCACCCCACATCACTGAAGTCCACATACAGGGCATGTCTCTTGCAGCTAGCCTTATGCTGCTTCCTGCGTTGTTTGCGAAGTGCTGCTTGACGTTTCTCTCGTGTGTGGAGTACTGAGTCCCCACGGCCGTCATGGCCGTACGTCACCAGCAAGGGCCGAGCCTGAGGCCATGAACCCTGGTCTTGGTGCAATGACCGGCTCATCCTGACATGCCTCCTATGTCTCTGGACATGCTCCCCATCTATCTCCCCTCCCTCTGGGTGAAGCACCTCCACCATGAAGCCATGGTTGTGGCCTTTCCCAGAGGCCCACTGAGATACAGCAGGGCTGACGTCAAAGCTCTCCCAGCGGCTTAAAGAGTCCTGCACTAGCCGAGTGTCCAGCAGACGTACCAGAGGTTCTCCACCATTTGTGGCAGGAACTCCGAATATCTCATAAATATTGATACGATGGAAGCCACCAGCAGAAGCACTGTCTGTAGTGCTGCTGTTTCTGGAGTTGTTGCTTGGAGTTGCAGCTCCTATGACCTGATCCCTGTAAATGCGTAGTTCTGCAGAAGTGATGAGCTCCTGATCAGGGATTGAAGTGAGGTTGAAGTAGAACTGCTGGGTGGTTTTGCCTTTCAGGCTGGCCAGGGCCTCCATAGCCTCTACAAAAGACAGCAGAGAGACAAACTGTAAGATGATAGGGGTGTGAAATGCATGCCGACGATGAAACAAAGTATTTATGCATGGTACACGAATCAGAAACATCTATTAAAGCCTAGCTGGCTTTATGGGTCCACTGTGAGCAGGGAAAGATTGGCCAGGGATGGTTTCCCATGTGATTTCTTGTGCTCTCTCTCACTGACACACACACATCTTGCAGCCTTTTTTCTGTGCACTCAGCCAAGCTGACACGTGGTTATAGTGAGAGAGTGTGGGCCACTGTCACACAGGCATAACTCATGCATCAACACTTTGCATGTTTGACTCACTGTAATAGCAAGCAAATTCTTATGCTGGTGTAATAATGTCATTGATGTCATGCTCATAAATTTACCTAGTTAAATGTCAGAAGATGAAAGCGGTGAACTTCCATCTATTGATAAGATCAAACATGTTTGCCTCATAAGAGCTGGTTGCTGTAGGCATGAAAAAAAAAAGTTGTACTATATACTGACTTATCCAAGTTCAGTAAAAGAGAAATATAGGTATTAATATAAATTTTGATTAGGTAAATGCTAGCATAAATGCCAGATCTTGTATTAACCTTTACAGAACCACTCTGAAGTTTCAAATGTTGCAATGCAGATGTTAATAATTCTCTTTAAAAGCAGTTAAAAGTATGTGATGTTTGATATTTTATTATTAACTTGTGCAGTTCTAATCAGGGAGTGCTACCCCATCTAAAAGTGCATTTCCGGCATTCATTATAACTGTCCTTTGAAAAACATTTATACTTAAGTTTGTTGCTATTTGCCTTTACAGTTAATGATAAAAGTCTTAGTAAAAGCTACAATTTTCTTTCATTCATCCCCACTTTGAACTCTTACTTTGTGAGGATCATAGATAATGTATAGACACACTTTAATCTGTTTGGTGTGGTAAAATAAACACCAACTTTGAACTCAGTGCTTTTCCAAAGGAGGCATTTAGGGAATTCCACCATCTTCATCCTAAACCTCCCTCCAGAGGCACAAAGACTCAATTAGGCCTATCACTTCTCATTTGATGTGGGAAACCCCCTTGTCTATCGTTCCCTCTCTTCTGTCCTCTTTCTTTCCTCCCTCGGCTCTCAAATCCCCTTCTCTCTGTGTTCTCTTAGCCCCAAATCCTCTTTTCATTCAGTCTCCTTCTCTATCACCATTTCTCTGCTTCTGTCTGCAGCAGTGCTCTCACTCTCTCCCTGTCTCTTAGCTGTGTGAACAAGTCGAGGCTTGTCGAAAACGTGTGAACCACAGATATGAGTGTATCAACATTCCTAATTTCTTTTTAAGCTGCGTGCCAAAACAAAAGATAAAGGCTAATGTTGGGTCATTCATCACAGACTGGTTTCTGGCAGCCGCTTCCTGTGTAAAAGTTCTATATGACATGGAAAATTGATATTTTGCAAACTGATAGCAGTTAAACTAATTATCTCTTTGAAATTAATATCAGCAGACAGATGGGGTGAATGATTAGAGCCGTTTGCTTTCATGTGCTGCACTTACATCTGTAGATACATGCTTATTATATGAAGTAGCCATCAATTGCTTGTCTCTTGATGCGGGGAGACTAAGAACCCTGGAGCTCTGTTAACATGGGATGGAAGAGCCAGGGGTGCATATGTAAACATAGTCTGAACACATTTGTTATGGCCGGTGGTGTCAAGATGTGTGCTGGCCGGGCGCAGAGGTTTCCAGTAGTGGGCAGGGAGCAGTCACTCAGCCCAGCTGCCTTGGCCAGGCTTGTTTGTAGTGTGTCAGTGTAGCCACTGGGTGTCATTGCACTAGGCCTCTGGAGAGCACCCAAGCAACCACTCAACCACCCTTCTGACTCACCCCTAATGGAAACTTCCCCACTCAAACACTTAGGACTCTGTGTAGTGCCCCTATGGACTCAGTAACTTGTACATTGTAAAAACTGGAACATGGGTCATAGCAAATTAAATATTTGATACAGAGTTTGACAGCACAGGTTGGAATCTTTTTGTGTCATTCATAAATCTCTTTAATATTATGATTAGGTGTGCCACTCTGCTAATTTACAGTTAAATGTAATATATAAATAAAGCATCAGTTATGTTTAAATTTCACCTGCTACATTATTTCAGACCGTTTAGAATAACCCACTTCATCAGTGTATAAATACATAGAGTATGACTGGTGAACTAATTCATCCAGGATCTATGATTCTTCAGGGAGCTTTATTTATCTGAGCAGCATATGTTGCCAAGTAAAATTGAATTGAACTGAAACATCGAATACAACAATGAGTCCTTATTCAGCATATAAACTAAGTGAGCAATTATGGTGTTATTGGAACGTGCGTAATGGCGCACAGTGGAGAAAGGGGTTATTTGGAAAGAATAAGGCGCGCGACTCCTCCTCCTTTACCAATGACTGATTTCAGTCCTGTTAAAAATGACTCAGAATTCAGTCTGGCACGATAGCTTTGTCATAATACGTGTTAGTATAATGTCGTGTCGTGTGTTATTGTAGTACCAGGGTGATGACTGTCACCTGTACAAAGGCGCACCACCCTTTATCCTGCTCCTGTAATGCGTGTCTGGAAAAACTGTTTACAGAGCGCACGCAAACACCATCAATTATTAAGAAACAAATCGCCCCAGGGATACAACCGCTCCTTGATGTTTTGTGACAGCTGCGCAAGGGGGATCTTTTTTTAAAGGCTGCATCTGTGTAAGACTTATTTTAATTGCGCATGAGATGCTTGTTTGTAAATCGTGCCAGTGAGTTTTAAGTAATCCAAAGTCACCTGTAAACGGCTAGCCCCCCCATTAACAGTGAAGTCTGAAGTGCCGTTTTGACGCATCGAGCCATGTTTAAATACAGGTTTTGGTTGTCTGAGAGAGGAGCTCTCCGGCTGAAACGTAAAGGTATGCCACTAATACAATACATACCTTCATGATGAAAGCTTCTAATCGTGTTGGCCTTGCTGGCGGCTTTCTCTGCGTGTTTCCCCATGCTCTTGGGTCGTTTAGTGCTGTGGTCTCCGTTTGCTGAGTGCATGCCGTAAAGGTCCATCATGTACTGCGGCACCACGGCTTGCTTGCTCGGGGTCGGCCTGCGCTTCAGTCCAAACATACCGAGAAGCCGAAGCTCAAACTCGTTGAGGAAGCTCTCTGACTGCTCTGGGGTCTGCTTCCCGGACTCGCTGTATTTCCTCCGGCCGACCTCAGGGATAAGTCCCGTAGCACCTTCCAGCAACACCTGAGCCAGCAGCAGTACCATGAGAGAGCGGACCACGGCGACCATGATCAGTCAGTCCCTGTGGAGAAAGTTGGTTTCTGTCAATACACTGGCGCTTAGTACTGACATGAGGTAAACACAGGGGCTTCACTGCAGCATTCATCAAACTAAGCGCGATCGGCCTGTATAGTAGGAACGACTGGACACATCACTTAACATTGAAGTAGAACAAAAACGGAACCGTAAATAACGGGCCCGCTGGTAATGTGGCGCGTTTAACTGACGCAAATTAGTGATCTTAAATGTACAGAAACATGAAATATCAAGGTGAAGAAGTTATGAAAGAGACTAACAAAAACGGCCAATGACACGGGGAAGGCAAATCAAAGAAAGTTGCGGAGAGACTACGGTATCCAGTTAGAAAAGCTAAGAAATATCGTATAGTGAAAAGAATGTACTGAGGAAAAGGAGATTATACAGCGACAGGAGAGACAGTAAGACGGTGAAACAAGCGTCTAGAGGCTTTGACGGTCATGTATAATCATAAGGGATAGAGTTACTTCAAGAGGCTCGCAGGTGTTAGATCTGACGTGAGTACCAGGGCCAGATGTAGCCCGGGACAGGAGGATCAGAAACTTCAAAAACTAAATATCATCTGAGTAACATAACCTCCGAAGAACACATTTTCTACTGTATGTTTCAGTGTTTCGGTGTTTTCACCGAGGTTCAAAACAGGACCACTTTAACTTTTACGCACACAACATCCTATAAGCACGCACAGTGGGACTTTTTGCAGCTGTTTAGTAAACGTTTATTCGTGAAGCGAGTACCTGTTGACATTATTAAGATTTCATTTCTAGGGAATGCTTCGACATTTTAACACAACTCCAGTCTTATTTTACCTGACGAGGAAGCGCTGTGTCCGGTCGTCGTTCCACCTTTGGGCTCCGATAAATTCCACATTAATTCGTGTTTAATCCACGCTGCGTCTCCTTAGGGGACCAAAGACAACCCATGTCCTTCGCCGATCGACTCTGGCACATATTCTTACCAGCTGCAGTTCGGGTTAGGTGTTGCTCAGTACGGAAAGAAAGAATATGGTAAGTCTATAAGGAAGCGGGCTCGCTTAGGCAGGACCGATCTAAGTATAAAGCATCTTGGTTGAACATTTTCAAACAAGAACAATTCGCTGAGGCAAAAGTTGAACGGAGATGGCCTTTTGGAGAGATAAGCGCACTCAAGTGTCGCTCCTTTGGACCTTGTTGCTGCGAGCTGGATTGCGCGTCGCCTCTCTTCTAGTGCCACAGCGTAGTGCTTCAATTGATTGGTGCCTTCTCTTCCCCCTGCGTCTCTTTTTGTCATACAGTGATGTCACTAAGGGCTGTCAATCATTTTACCACTAGAAAGCACCTCCTGCGGACCTCTAATCCGTAGCCTGATGTCAACTAAGAGCCACAGACCCCCACAGGAAGATTTTGTTTTCTAATGGCTTGGGTCAAGAGTGAAAACAGTTGAGTCAGTCATTTTATGAGTCTCCAATATGAAAAAAAAAAAAATCATGCTAAGGTATTTAAAATTATAGTGAAATTATCCTTCAACCTACTGGGGACCCCTTTGGCCCGCTGCTCAATGATCCTGTCCCCCCCAAAACGTCTGAGAGCCGTATGTGTTTGAAAAGATTCTCTATCCATATTACAGACCACATTTTCTTCTTGTATCTTTGCATACCCTGAAGATTCACACCATAAAAATAGTTGCAGTAAGTCAACAGTTAAAACCATTCTGCTGCTTTTAGTTGTGTGTTTTTGTGGGTTTTCTATAAATAGGAATAGCAGTCGCCTTTTTGTTTTAAATAAGATCAAATGGCTTCTTACAGTCACTTGTTGGGCTAATATGTGAATTTGACCACAGAGCAATAAAAATGTCAACGTGTCTTTTTTAATAAACAGATAATTTATCAGCAAATGTTACTAGCATGCTCTAATGTTTAACTTTTGGAATAAGGCTAAGAGATAATGGCATCACAGTGTGTACTTTTGTGGTTTTAAAGGATTAGATCCTCTGCTGGCGAGTGTGGCACATCCTCCTGCCGAACTTCACTGTGTGAGGGTGCATGTACATGTGTCTGACACCAGAGCCAATTTTTTCCCCAGCTGGACACTTTTTTTCCCATTTCATTCCAATTCCCAGCAGTTTATCAATATATCAGGAACCAATATTGGCAGAAACCCCACCAATATTTTCTTTCGCTCATTTTTGGTAAAACTCTGAACTTTGAACCTTTGTACTCGCACAAACTTTGACTTAAAGGGGCTGCTTGGTTTGATACAAATGTGTATGTCTGATCCTTTTTAACACATAAAATATTTTTCATTTATGTTGAAAGATTCATCTGCGTTTGGGACAGTACCTGCTGCATTTGTACAGTGCATGCTCTTATAGAGGGATGAGAGGAACTTAGCTTCATTCTTTTTAGCCTGCAGGGTATAGTCGAAAGCATTAATGTTTGCGGTCATCTCCGTAAGAAAAGCCCCCATTGATTCCCTATAGTAACTTCCATTACGTGATGATGGTGGGGCAGGTGGCTGTGTTTTGGCCAAAGCACTGGACCAGTTTTCTTCACAGAGATGGCAGCAGATTAAATCTCACAGAGATCACAAGATATCTTTGTCTCTTTTCAGGACAATAACATTTTATGAGGGATTATCCCAGATCATCCACTTAGCAATTAAAATACAGAGAGGCCCTTAGGTGCATGCCATTACCTGAGTGGCAGTGTGTGCACAGTTTCTTGGATTTTCCTAGCTGATTTGATACCTTTTTGGTGGTAAATTGCATACACTTCTTTTGCTTTTCAGCTTGTTTTCACTTCATTCATTCATTCATTCATTAAATGTTTTCTTCATTCATAAAGTCGAGGAATGGGAGAACATGTTAATCCATTAATTCTGTTTAGATTTGCTCTATTGTTGTGTAAATCTGTTGGCAGTGATAGTTGGGTCTCCGCTGTTGCCAAAACACCACTTGGTGAACCCTGTGTTCTAAACCCAAGCTCAGGTAAAAGCAGCTTGGCATTTAGATGCTTTAGACTGGGGGATAAGACCTCACACAGTAAGCCATGAGTAGCTTTAATTACTCAAGTGTGAGATGAATGTGAAAGTGTGTGTTGTGTCTTGTTTTGAGCGCATGTACATTCAAACTTTGTGAATGTGTGCGTTTTGGAACAGCTTCTCTGAGGCCAGCACTAAGGAATGTGTCTAACCAAGGCTGTTCAGAGACTTGATCTGTGATGCCCAGAGTGGTTTGAGAAGATCATGAGACTGTGATACTGTATATAGGTATCATTGTTGTGAGCCAGATACATCATGCTTATCTAATCCCTGCCACTGATCCAATTACATACTGATTGAAAGGACAACATCGCAGAGTGAAACCCTGGCAGCAAAAGAGGGAAACTAGAGATATGATATCTGAAATACAAATGAACCATCCACTGAAGAGGACTCAGTCAGTCCCTGTTAACCCAGCATGGCCACTGCCATTAGTAGAGCCAGGTGAACATTTGTTTGTTTGTGATAGGAATAAATAGTCTGAAAGTTGCAGTATAAAACTCTGGTGTCAAGGTCACAACAGAGGCCCCGTGTAGACTTGGTATTACAATGCATCTCAAGCTGACACATCCCCGGTTACACCTGTCAGTTTACATGTATAGCCAAGGTGCCCAGCTGGCCACTTGTGTTCAGATTTCGCTGAGACTTCCACTTAAATATTGAAAGGTCAGGCGCACAATTATTATGTCATTCTGTTACCAGACAAGTGCCAGTAGTTTCCCTAACAAATGAAGAAGGAGAAGACAAGAGGCTTGTTTGAGTTGAACTGTGCCTCGCCTGGTAAGCAGGTGAGGCACACTTCCCGCTAACTCTGTTCCTGATTTAATTAAATGTCATCAAGCCAAACTTTTCAGTTTCTCCTAACAGTGATCGATTCTGCACAGATCTGGGCCATCTTGAACGTACCTAAGATTTGTACATGGATGCATAGAGTGCCGTAGGGATGACTTTTTTTGTAGGCCAAACCGGAAGTTAGCATCACCCTGGTTTCCTCAACAAACAGCCAATGGTATTTTTGCAGAAAATAAGCTCTGTGACAGACTGTGGTTTATGACACTTACACATGTTCAGCAAAGTCAGGAAGAGGAAACATTATTAAGTGAAAATGCAGTTTTGTCAAAACAAGCACATACACTGCAGGGGGTTTTTCACCTTTAGATTTAACCTCAATTTCATAATATTTCATTCATAGTAGGTATAAACTAGTGTCTAGTATTGTTTTAATGGTGGTGTGACATTCACTTCATATTATCAGACATTATTACAATGACAGTTTCTTTGCCATTTACAAAAACTTGAAGAAATAATAAGGAATCTTTCCTTAAAAGTAACATTTATCTTTTTGAGCTGCAGGAAGGAAGCAGGGAAACAATTTTAGAGAGAATCTTTAACTGACACGAGGTGAACATTTTGTGATTCCTCGGTGATCCATTCAAAGTCTTCCTTAACCCACAGTTGGATTGAAAAACTATGCGTCAGAGCATCTCTGCATCCTCATAACAATTGTTTAGCTACAGACTATAGTTATCAGCTTAAACTGGAGATTCTGAAAATCCTTTTGTCCGAGCAGTAAGGACTAATATGACCGGTCTCTGATTCGACTTCTGTGGTCTCCAGTCTGCGTTTAGAAACTACAAAACTGACATTTCTCAGACAACTGAAGGTTCTCTGCCTCAAATCACCCTACTCATCTCTAGTTGCTGTTTCACTCTTATTACTATTATTGTTGTTGTTTATGTTCCCATATTTATTGTCCCTTTTTGACAAGTGAACGACAAAACTAAAATTTAGTTTAGTGGATAATGAACAACAGGATAGGTTTTGTATTGTGAGACCCTCACCTGCATATTATTTATTTTTCTAATCATTTGAAAGTCAGATTTCTTCATTGGTACAGTATGTTCTATTCATGCTTCACCTTTTGGACAATCATCTTCAGTAACCACAAGAAAAATATACAAGAAACCACTGTCATGTGCTGCTGCTTCAGCTAATAGATGTATCTATTTCTTGTATGGAAAACCCCTTAAGGGAGAACAATGTGCAATACATGACGCTTATAACAAAGGTATAATGAATCTATTCAAGGAGGAATATTTGCGGTTATTTGAGGGAGACTAGGATAGAATGGGTTTTGTTTTTTTTAATACATACATATCCTGAGGAAGAGAAGAAGACATGGTTTATTGTCCTCTGTTCACCAGGGTCCTGTACATGCGCACTTCTTTCATACAGGTACTGTATGTGTGTCTGTCTATGCATGTTCTGCTGGATGTGGATGCTGCGGCCTTCTCTTGTCATCACATACATTCCAGGAGTCAGGGGGCAGGCGAAGCCCTGAGATGACATTGCAGATCCAACTATTAGCCTTTCACCCACTGTTAACAGCAACTTGGCTAGACACAGGGCCTGCATTCCTCTGTCTTGAGCCAGCTGTAGTCTTAACACACAGTAACATGGCTACAAGGAGATAATCTTAAAGAGATGTTGCTTGAAACCAGGGAACAATTTGTTGCTGTGACTCCACACTTGAGCAAAGTTGTCTTTTTCATGTGGAAACCAATAAAATCTTCATCAGTCCATATGTGTTTGACAGCAGAAGCATGACTGCTGTGCCGTGCCAAGCACGTGCACATGGTGCATAAAAGAGATTGTGGGGAAATGGCACACATTTTATATAGGTTGGTCCTGAAATGGAAACCCACCAAGGTCAGAGACGGCCAGTTAAAAAGCCAGAGTCAATATTTATGGACACAGAACATGTGGCACGCTTCTCTACCCACTAATTTGAGCAACAAGTCCACCTCCAGATTATATGGAGTCTCAGAGATCACAAGAGATGGTAAAAACCTTGCTTGCATGTTTCAAAGACTGAGAAGCACATGGAGGCTGACTAGAAGCTGCACATAATTTGGCAAATTGGCACAGTGTTTATTTGTTTGTGTTTTAATTTCCTGTATAAATGAGGGCCAAGGGAGCTTTAATCAGGCAGTGAGGGGTAGGCTTTTATCCAGATTTGTAATGATCAGTGGCATTTGTATAGATATCATTGCAGCGATCGTGTTGTCAATTTGCTTTTTTTAAGGCTTTTATTAAAGTCAAATAAACAGAATATGACATTTAGGTTTTAAGTTTTACCACTTTGGCTATATAATGAACAATATGAAAAAAGTTGATGCCTGATGTTTTGGCTAACACC